TTTGAATAAGCTTGGAGGTATTTATTTGATTGTTTCTTAACCTTCTATTGGGTAATATCTGCAGCTCTGGCTTTTATTTCTATTTATAACAAAAAACAATGATGCAATGATTCAAATTAACCAACTTTCTCATGTTTTTCTACTGCAGTTATGCTTTATGCTTATCCACACTCTCTACTTCCTCATATTGTTTCACAGTTGTACCAGACTGTTGATGCCAGTAGTTGAAGCTAGGACTACATTGCTAGAAATAACGGCTAAGTGTAGTTCCAGTTACATATTTTCCTGTTCTTGTTTTCTAAATAATAATATATTTTTTCAGTATAAAGCCTGTGCAGCAGTGAGTCTGACATTCATAAAACATTCACAGTGGGTGAATCTTCTGGATGCATATGTTTTAAATGATAGTGTTTGATTCCCTACTAGTGAATGTTTGGTGAACATCACATTTACTGCTTTATAAATATGCCCCCTTTTTCATATTGATTTTTACTGCTCTTGTTTTATTTGTACAATAACAAGTTTTCACAAGCAACTTATACATTTTCACAAAATGCTAATAAACTGATTTTATTAAATAATTGTGAAAGCATTTTTTGGTTGTACCCCACCGATTGCCTCCATTCTCGTCAGCCCTGCTCCAGCAGTCTCCTGGGATATTTTCAGCAGATATGCCAAGAGGCATGGGTGCCCATACAACGACGGGAGGGGGGTGGACCTTGTGACAGACCGCCTTGTACCCCGATTGGGTACCTACGTCAGAAATCAGCTTCTTCTCTGCTGGAACCTGAATTCCAGTGTCCTCATCCCAAACCTGCCTAATTATTGGACAGAACCAATATATTAGGACAGAAAGCTAAACTCCTCAATCATCAGGCAACACCAATGTTGAAGTGGAAATCAAGAACTGCTTTATTGAAGAAAGCACACAAAGTTTATACCTCAAAGAATCAGATAAGAGTTCAGTGTGTTGAACAGTTCCCATGCCTAGACAGCCGAGTGCCGCATTGGAATTCCTTAATTAGATAAGAGCTTGATCACCATAAACAATGGTCACTCCAGTCAGCCCGCTGCCTATAATGAACACGGTCACTTAAATGTAATATCAGGGGAAACATGCAGTATTTTTACTCCACACATAAACCTAGGAGAATAGTTCCATGTAACCCCAAGAGGTGTGAGGGGGGGTCTCTATAGTTCTAGGTTCATAGTCAGTAGGAAGGAGGCTAGCCCTCAGGCTCCTCCAGCAGCCCCAGTGTCCGTTCAGTCCATCACAGACATTGTGGTGCCTCATCAGGGGACTGGCTACAAGAACCCAAAAGAGACAGCCAATGTTGGAAGGAAAGAAAATAGTGGCATGGAACCTGGCGTGTAGCGTCACAGCAGGACAATGCTGGATTCGATGGGTGTGTAAGTATGTTAATTGAACAAAACCCACAGAAAAATGTAAGGGAGGATTATAAGCAAAATTAACCCAAGTGTGTGTGTTTAAGTTCCTCTTTAAATGACATTTGCTTATACCAAAGTATGAAACTTTCTTTATATTTAGCATTTTTAGGTATCTAGAGGTTTTAGTTTTCAGCTTCTCAATGCCTCTTGCAGCATACAAGTGCTGGAGTACTCAGTGTTCTTTCCCTATCATCTTTTCAGTTTGGCATTTATACTGAAATATGTCATTGGTGAAATGTTCTGTTTCAATCAGCCCACACCCTAACAGCCTCTGAAAGTGGGGAACACCTTCTACCTATCTGACCTTAGTGTTCTATAACTCTTGTTTTCTTGGCAGATTGGAATATGTTGTTTGGCAAGTACACAATAAACAGATTTTATAGGCTTTTGCCAAGTTCCTAACACTTATAAAACAATTAGATCAGTATGTCGGTGGACTAGAAGGTCTGATCTAATATTCAATGGAATTTGTATTAAACTATTAAACCCCCCCCCCCCCCCCCCCCCCCCCCTTTCTCTTTTTTTCTTG